AGATCCGGGTTTACCTAGCGCGGGGCCCAGGGCCCTGACGCGGGTGAGGCGGCCCCGAGAGCATGAGCGGGCAGCGCGTGGACGTCAAGGTGGTTATGCTGGGAAAGGAGTACGTGGGCAAGACGAGTCTGGTGGAGCGATACGTGCACGACCGCTTCCTGGTGGGGCCCTATCAGAACGTGAGTGCGCCTCGCGGGCCGGCGCGGGTGGGAGGTAGCCCGCCCCCGCGATCCTGATCGCTTCCCCTGGTTGCAGACCATCGGAGCCGCCTTCGTGGCCAAGGTGATGTCTGTCGGAGACCGGACAGTGACTTTGGGTATTTGGGTAAGTCCTCTGGGCAGGTAGTCCTGGGAATAGCCATTCTTAGGCTTAGTCCTGTCTATTCGTGTCTGATTTGTGGCCTTATAGAGGCAATTTCTCTTCTCTAGACCCCCGTTTAAAAATGGGGGTCCGGAGGACGTATTAGTTTGCAGTCTTGGGGAGAAGCTCAATAACTCAGGCCAAGGCTGAGCTTCCCCCTGCCCTTCAGGACACAGCAGGCTCTGAGCGCTACGAGGCTATGAGTCGAATCTACTATCGAGGTGCCAAGGCTGCCATCGTCTGCTATGGTAAGGGAGGTTCTCGTCTGCTCCTCAGACAAGGGGTGGGTGCCAGGCTGGCCTGAGCGACTAGCCCCCGACCTTTGGTTGTTTCCTGTCTGCCCTATACCAAGACCTCACAGACAGCAGCAGCTTTGAGCGGGCAAAGTTCTGGGTGAAGGAACTGCGAAACTTAGAGGAGGTAGGTGGCCAGACCTTACCAGAGAACCAGGGGCTGGGGCTCTGGTGGTCTGTGTGGATTACCCTGACCTCGTCTTCCGCTTCAGGGCTGTCAGATCTACCTGTGTGGCACCAAGAGTGACCTGCTGGAGGAGGACAGGCGGCGTCGACGTGTGGACTTCCATGATGTCCAGGACTATGCAGACAGTAGTTGCTTCTCAGTTGCTGGGGATGGAGGAGGGAAGTGGCTGTTTGGGTGGGTCACAGAAAATAGGGACTGTTTGGCTACCATGGCCAGATCGCCTGGGAAAGCTTTCAGGCTTCCCTGAACCTGTGGGGTCCAGAAGACTTCCCCTTTGTGTCTACCCGATTCTCAGATACGAGGCTTTAGTCGCTTTTCTTTTCAGATATCAAAGCTCAGCTCTTTGAAACATCCAGCAAGACAGGCCAGAGTGTGGGTGAGTGCTGTCCTGGGCCTCACAGCAGAACAGGCAGGGGCACCAGTGGAAGCAAAGAGCCTAGAGGGCTGTGTCACTGGGTGATCCCAGGGCTCCTGGCATTGGGCCTTCACTGATCGCCTTTTTTCCTGCCAGACGAGCTCTTCCAGAAAGTGGCAGAGGATTACGTCAGTGTGGCTGCCTTCCAGGTGATGACAGGTGTGTACTTCCTAGCTTCTCTGGAGACTTCCTCTCGGCCCCTTTCACGTTTGTTACCTGATCCCCCAACAGAATGGTGCTGAGCTGCCACCTCTCTCTCTGACAGAGGACAAAGGCGTGGACCTGGGCCAGAAGGCAAACCCCTACTTCTACAGCTGTTGTCATCACTGAACCACCACTTGGCCTGGGGGAATTAAAGGAACTCCCCAAGGGGCTGGACCTAGTTCTTGTCTGGGCTTGGGTGGTCAAACATGTAAGCTACCCTAGTCCCCATGGCAGCAGAGGTGGCACCTGTCTGTGCTGGCCCACGGAACGTGCAGCATTGGGCTGACTGATGGTCATCAGGAGGATGAAGGCTGATTTGGACTCCAGGCTTCTTCCCTGGACAGCACTGTGTCTGCAGATTACTTAAGTGGCTTCTGATTTGTAAATAAAATCAATGCACTGTGAATCACACTCAGCCCCTTTCTTAGGCCTCACTTCTAATATGTCTCTTCCCAGCCCTAATTTTCCTTTGGTTGCAGCTGAGATAATGGAGAAACAAAAGAGCCTATTCTGTGCTTTAGGATGGTGAGAGGCTACGATTGGGACAGAGCAGAACTCACAATTCCTTATTGGTGCTAGGAAGAGCAAAGCAAGCACTTAAGTGCTGTCCAGAGATCAAAGGACCAAGCACTTCTTCCTCAGACTGGTTCTACCGCACCTGTCACATCATACCTCTGGCTCATATCCTCAGCTTCCCATCAGCACCCTACAATGTGGTTTAATGGTAGAAATATCATAGTTACTACAATATACAAAATTCTTTTGGGTCCTAATTGGGATCTAATTCAGATACTTAGAAAAGTAACTCAGCCTGAATTTATCTGTAAAATGAGGTAACCACTGCCCAGTTGAGGACTGTGAAGATCATGAAGGAAACGTAACTTTGACTAAATGCTCATCTTCCCTGAAGGGCTTTTGGCTGAAGGGGCAGGAGGTTCAAGACTAGATCGGAAGGGGAGGCAGACTCCAAGGTTGCCTCAAATTTTATTTTTGGACCTTGGAGGACCAGGTGTTAACTGTAATCTGGGCTGACACTTTCTATTCAACTAAAAGGAAGTATATGACAGCCCTTTCCTGTATGGAGGTTTGGCCCCTTTGTTTCTGCTTTCCTGCCTTAGACTGGGTCCTCTGTAGTACCCAGCACCTGCCTCTGAACTAAAAACTTGGCCAAGATGGTCAGACTCACACTCAGGAAGTCATTTGGTTCTACTTCCTTTTAAAAACCAATTCCTCAAAATACCCTTAGTTCATGGGTGATGACTTCCTTTATGGAGATGAAAACACCAGCCACTCTCAAAAGAAAGACATTCTGGCACCTAATGACTACTGAGGAAACCCATACCACTCCCATGAGGTGTTTGGAAAAGTGCTCAGCTCCACTGTGTCCCACCTGGGCGTTAGTGTAGGGGCTGGCTTCTGCTCTCACCCCAAACCCACCCTCCCTCCTATTGAGCTACATCTTCCCATCGACAACAAAACACAACACAGGGCAAGGGCCATAAGAGTAAAGTTAAACTTTACTTTACAGTAATTTTTTTCTATATACAAAGAATTACAGTACATGTTTATGGGGACTCCTAGCACAGGGCTCCCCTCTTTTCCACTAAAAGTTTCACTTACAGCTGACAATCTATGGGGGTGAGGAGCAAAAAAAAAAAGGTGATGGACCTCAGCTGTTCCCCCCACACCTCTTTTCTTAAAAATATAAAGATAGATCTAGTGTCAGCTTGTTTCTTAGCCAAGACTTTGAAATCTGCTCTTCCATGAGCTGCTGTGTGCTGCACTCACCCATCTTCTACACACTCTCACCTACATGCACACACAGGCAGCACGCACCTCAGACCTGGTGACCACCTATTCTGTGCCCCTCCTTTGGGAGTCTAAAGCACCACAACCATTCATTTCTGCTCCTACTCCCTGGGCTCTCCTGTCCACAAAGCTTTGCTCAACTTCCAGAGTGTTAACACCTGAAGCCCCTCAATAGCCTGATGTTTGGAAAGTCATGGGAAAGCAGCTCTAGAGAAGGAACGACTTAAGAATTTAACATGTGCTGTGTTTTGCTTATGTTGATAGGAAACATTTCTTTCCAGGCTGTAGATTTCTAATTAAACTTTCCACTTCCTTAAGAAAGAATACCTTTAATCTTCATAAGCAATAGAGGTTCCCTCGAGAGTGGGAGAGGTAGAGAGGGGCAGAAGGTAACTGAGGGAGATCCCATACCTGGAGCTCTCTACCAACCAGAGGCTATGGACAAGGTGACACACCAGCCCTGAAAAACTCAATGGCCACCCTCACCTGGACATGGCATCTCTTCCATCTCTGGATTGCGCTGGACCACTCCAGGATTGGGTACAGGCTTCACCGAGACTCTGCCCTCCTCTTAACAGAGCTTCAAAGAACTGTTCTACATAAAAATCTTTTCCTCCCAAACAGGAACTTGGGTTTCTCAAGTCACCAGTTCCTCAACCCTTGGCAGTGCTTATTTATACCAGGAAATTAGCACCATCATTACATTTGTGTGTGTGTACAAAGCAATTATCTATTCTTATTTCAATTTATACTACAGCAATCTGGCCCTAGGAAGTTCAGCTGAGAGCTAACTGGCCACAGCCAAGGAAAGTCTCATGCGGCTACCTAGTTGTAAATGATGTGGAATGTCCAAAACATGAACAGCCTAAACATTATTTAGTAGGAAAGGGACTTGTGGCAGCTCCCTTCCTGCCGCGATCTCACAGAGGTTACAACATTGGGCCACTCTGACAAACCCCCAGATGACAATATCCCCCATTAAGCCTTAGGAGAAAAACCGTTTTGTAGGAGCTGAGGCCAACATCTGTCCATGTTTAGTGCTCTCCTAATTCCTCCACAGGGAAGCTGCCTGGACCAGACTTCCTGCCAGTGTTCTCACAGGCGACCTGGGAGTCCAGCTCCAGTGAGTAGATGCTGCCAAACCTGTGAAGAATCACTGATGCACTTCATGCCCTGACTGTGGTGTGGGGTAGAGGATATGAAGAATACAATTATTTTCTTCAATGCCAAAGATGTAGGTTTGGTAGTTGTTCAGAAGAGGATCAACATAGTGATTTAAATCACCTCAAACTCAGTAACTTTTAAGGAGACACAGACATTTAAAAACTTGGATGCTTTTGTAGCAATGAGAGCTATTTGCTATCACAATGGGTTGGCTTCAGTAGGAGAAGCAAAGAGGCTTTGAATTTAAACAGTATATATATATATTGTTTTTTTCCTGACTTAACAGGGCTAGGAGAGGTATTTGTTCTCTAGCTACCTATGGAAGCTATGGCTTCCCCCTGGAAAAGGCTTCCTGGGAAAGTGGCTTAGAGGCATATTCTCGAGATCCCGGTTTCCAAGCACTTAGCCAAATACCAAAAACACCATCCTGCATAAAGATCAGGAATGTCTAAGAGAAAAGATTACCTTTTAATTTCCAACTCGCAATCCTTGGAGAAAAGGTCTTAGCACAGGCTCCAGGAGCGTCCTCAAGGGTAGTCACTCCCTCCCAGCATCATGGAATATCAGTTCCCAACAGTCCTGATTGTGCTTCTAATTGTACAGTGACTGCTTTCATGATTACATGTTAATGATCTAGAATGAGATGCTGAGATCAGGGGGCCTCACAGTTGAATTTCTAGGTTCCATTCAAGCTGGAAGTCTTTCCAAATGGCACCCAGGAAAGCCTGGCACTCCATCCATTTAGATAAAGAACTGCCTCCTACCCCGTAAACCAAGCATAACTCAATTGTTTTCCCAGGCAGGTCTGGAAGGAAGTATTCAGTGAGTGGTGGAAAACGGAAAGGACCAAAACAAACCCTTTATAAAGTGGTCAACCATGGCCCACCTTTCCCTCACTCCTTCCTGTCCTATGAGACATGTCTAGAGTGGCTGTCAAGAAAATTACCTACCAAAGCCTACTTCAGAGAAGCTATTTTAGGATCGAACTTCTCCATTTACAAATTTTTACAAAGCCTGCACAACCCCCCACCACAAAAAAAATTCACAGTTTATTCCATTAAACAAAGAACTACGGTAATTTAACACACAACATAGTGAAAAGAGATTCTGACAGTGCAGTGTGGATACTTTTTCTGATCGCAACTACAGATGACAGGAGAGAAAAGGGCACAGGACTGGCACCAAGCAAACCCTACTCGTACAACCTAAGAGATTAGGGGAAAAGACCTACTAGCTGCAGTTATATACTTATTATTCTCACACATGATAAATACTTAATATAATGAACTTTAACGTTCTGGGTGGATTTCTTTAAAAATATCTTTTCCATGGTTTAAAATTTTTTAAAAAGAAAATAAGATACTTTGTTTTCTCTTCCTTTTCAACCAAGAGCTTTTCTTCTCTGATGATGTGGGAAGAGAGTTAGGATGAAAGTGAACTAGGCAGGTGGAATTTACAGAGGAGATTCCGAGGTCTAAGTGAGATGCAAGGATAGGCCCCTAAACTCGGGGCAGCCCTGCCCAGCCTTGTGCCTCTGCCTGAGTTCAAGTGTCTCAATCCCAGAGACCCACTTTGGGAAATAAAAGCAAATTCTTTTTAATTTTTATATAAAGCGCAAATGCTTCTGTAACTATTATTCCCTCCTTTAGAGTGATTAGAGTAGCCTCACTAGGAACTCAGGAGGAAACTGGGACAAAATACAGACTCCTGTTGATATAAAAGCCATAACTGAGACAGAATGGTTAGGAGACATTTGGGCCAGATGGCCTGGTTGGCTAAAGCTGCTGGCTAAGTTGGCAAAGCAGATAGGTAAACACATTTAGTCTAGGGACAAAAGAGACATGGATGAATGGGAAGAAACTGGCCAAACAGCACTTCCTGTTGGCAGTCAGTGAGCTGGGTGAATGGTAGGGCAGGGTAGCACCAACAGATTTCCCAGCCCTTGAGCCCCAGCTCAGGGCAGCAGTAACAGATAATCAGCAGTTATGAGGAGTCAACTCTTAGACTGGACCTTTCTCTAAATGCCACATCTTGCCAGTCATAAAGGAAGGGTTATGGCTGCCTTTAAACTTGAGTCAGCAGGCAAGTCCTCTCAACACAGAGCACAATTCTCAGGGGAGGGTGGTGAAATCCACTAGTGAAGAAGAGGACTCCCTCCATTCAGGCAGGAGAGCAAAGGATCAGAAGAGAAGTCATTTTCTGTCAGGATCTGGCACCCTCCCTGAGCTGGTGGTGGATCTAGCTCAGAGCTTGCTAGAGATGCCTAGGTCCACTGCCCAAGACTCTGAAATCTGAAAGCACCTGAGTGTGTGGGGGACGGGCATAGGGTGGATTGATGTAAAAGGAGGAAAATGGGTAAAAAAGAAAGATAAGCTTGCCAATTGCCTTCTTACACTATGGGAAAGCTACATCATTGTAGAGCCCAGCCTCCCCACAATCAGCTATTCCATCAAGTATAGATCTTCAGACAGAAGCAGTGGTGGTGGCTGCCCAGCCAACAATCTCACTTGGCCTCTGCAGCTCACCCTGCCTGTAGACAGCTGCATGAGCACACATGCATGCACATGCACACATGCACACTGAGCCTGAGGAAACTTACTCAATACAATCATTTCTGGGACCATGCCCCAGGGCCCCTCAGAACTTCATGTTATTTCCTGGTCAAAGGTTCTTAAAAACAGCCTAGAAACTGTTAGGCATGCTAGGCTCATAAGAATCAGGTCTTATTTATCTTTGTATCTCCTATCAGTGACCAGCACCTGGCCTAGCACACATGAATGCTCAAGAAATTGCCACTGGTTTGAATGGGTATCAGTTCCTCCCAAGGGTTCATCAGGTGCCTTCAGTGGGGCTCTGTAGGCATGGAGAAATAGCATCAAAGGCCCCTCTATCTTCCAACCTGACCAGCGGAATTGAATCCCATGTTTGACTCCAAGTGGACTTTTTATTTCAAGGTGACCATTTAAGGGTTGAGGGAAAGAACCCACTTGGATTTCCATACATGTTTCACATAACCACAAGCCCCCACTGGCTAATGTCACAAGAGTTCTGAGTGTTGGGATATAAAGAAAGAATAACAGTGAAAAGGGAGTGGGGTCTGTTTTATAAGGGAGGAGAATAATATTTCCCTCCTCCAAGAACCCTGGGGGTAGCTGGTCTGGTCATCTGACATTTACTGGTATTATTTCTGTTCTGACTCTGCATACTTGTGACTGGAAGGCGCCTGGTTAAGAGTTGGAAATGTGTTTTGCTCTGGTTTAGGGTCTTGCCCTCTTCCAAGAGACCAGCAAGTCTGTGCCAATGTCTGTGTGCTCCCAGACGACCAGCAAGACGATGCCAGTGTGTGTCCAGCCAACATGGGCCAGAGCCCTGGCCCTGGTGAGGTCTTTCCTAAGGCCCAGGAACTCTGCTCTGTGGTTGCCAACTTTTTCTCTTCAGTGGAGAGGGAGGATGGGGCCTTCCCAAGAGGCCTGAAGGACTGCCCACTCTTGGCACCAAGTCCAGGTACTTGATGGCCTCCAGCCATCTGTTTCACCTGCTTCACCAGGCCCAGTGCTTGGCTGGGAGGCCCTGGGATCTGCTCAGCTCCTGCAGGTGCTCTTCCTGCAGCCTGAGTTGCTGACTCATATAAAAAAGCCTTGGCAGGGGATGGAGAAAGAAGTCTGGCTTGGGTGAGTGATTTAACAGCTTGCCAGGGGTGCTCCAAGGGGGCCACGGCTTTTCCAGGAGGCTGAAGGACAGGCTCTGACACACTGCCTCTCTCTACAGCTCGAGACATCTGCCCCAGACCTTTGCTGGCAAGCCATGAGCTGGACTCCAACACTGGCATCTTCTCATCAGCTTGTGGTGTGGCCTCATGAGGAGAAGCTGCCCGTTCTTTCTGGCGAGAAGTTAGGTCTATAAGATCCATCACCAAAGCAGCTCTGTTTTTTGACTGAGTATTCTGGTCCACGGGCCTCAGTGCCTTTTCTTTAGCTACCAGTGTCTGGACCACAGCTGATAGCACTTTGTCAGGAGGTGGGAATCTCTGGGTCAAAGAAGCATGGGATTTCTCTGGAGACCTGTCTGAAGTCTGGGGTTTGGGGCTGCTGGTGACGAGCAGTCTGTCTGATGGTGGAAGTCTCAGGACAGTAGGGACTGGGTTTTTTTCCAGTGACTGGAGCCTTGGGCTGGCAGCACCTATGGATTTATCCAGCCTTGGGTCAGCTGCCCCTAGAGGTCTTTCCAGTGGTTGGGACCTGACTGAGGGTGAAGAGCTTGGGCCGGTCACTGGAGAGGGTTTGTCAGATAGTTGGGTTCTTGGTCCTCCCACTGTAGATGGCCTGTCCACTGACTTCTGGCTGGATACCAAGGACTGGGGTTTGGCCCCTGACCCAGCAAGGGTCCTGACCCTTTCTACAGGCTGGGGCCTGGAGTCAGTTCTGTCAGGAGGTCTTTCAGGTGGTGGTGGCCTCTGACAAGTCCCTGCCAGAGTTTTTTTGGACAGTGACAATGTCTGGTTGGCTTCAGCAGGTGGCTTGTCCAACATCTTGGGCCCCTGAGCAGCAACTCCTGATGATTGTTGCTCTGCCAGGTGAGTGCTTGGGCCTGGAGTCAGTGGTACCGGGGGAGGCACATACTCACGGATCTCCCCAGGTTCCAAAGGGTTGGGCCCACAGGGGTCGTGCTCAGTACAAGACAGACGTCCATCCAGTTTGGAGATGAAGAGCATCCCTTCCCGATGCTGCTTGCAAAAGGAGCTAGGACACATCTCGCAGAAGGAGGCCGCTTCCTTCCCACAGATGTCACACTGATGCCAAGGACACTCCCATTTCCCTGAAACATAGATGTGAAACAAGAGCTTAGGAAAACAAGAGATAGGTGATGGCTCTGGAACCAGGTCAAAGGAGTGATTTCAAACTGCCCTGTTCTACAGATAGCTCATGCTTCTCCAGCGCCAGGATCTCGGCTTCCTCTTCTGCACAACCGCATATAAAAATAACTGCCAGTATCAAGTAGCAACTAAGCATCAACTAAATATACAGGCAGGAGTAATTCCTTATTTCTATTTCTAGCAAGGAATAAGAACCCAAAGCTCTCTTTACATCAAGCATGTCATACTCGTTGCTCAAGGGTCACATGCGGCCCACAACAAATATTTTTGCGGCCCAGCCAATTTAACAGTATGTTAAGAAATGTTTTAATAAAAATTTCATAACTTAAATTTTTACAATATCCTTTTATACATAACTAGAGGCCCGGTGCACGAAATTTGTGTACTGGGGGAGGGGTGGGGGGGGGATATTCCTCAGCCTGGCCTGCGCCCTTTCACAGTCCAGGAGCCCTTGAGGGATGTCCAACTGACAGCTTAGGCCCACTCCCTGCCTAAGCCCGCAGTTGAACATCCTTAGTGCTGTCACAGAGCAGGAGAGGTTCCTGCCACCGCCACTGCACTCACCAGCCATGAGCCCAGCTTCCGGCTGAGCAGCGCTCTCCTTATGGGAGCGCATTGATCACTGGGGAAAGCTGCTGCGTTGAGCATCTGCCCCCTGGTGGTAAGTGTGCATCATAGCGACTGGTCGTTCAGTTGATTTGCATATTAGCCTTTTATTATATAGGATTATTAATAACGAACTACAACGTTCGTTAATGACTGATTACTATAATTGTGTTCCCTTACGCACCCTACGCGCAGGCGCAACATTTCACTCCACTAATACTAGCAGTGAATATTTTAGCAGCAAAATGTTCTATTATTTTATGTTAATGATTACTCATTTATTTCAGCCCTTTGTATTCAGCATGTTTCTATTGAAATAAACCTACGTTTCTATGAAAACTGAAGCTTTTGTTTTTTTGCGGCCCACATAAACTTAAACCTTGTTTATTTGGTCTGTGTTAGCCTTTGAGTTTGACATGCTTATCTTGGATAAAATATGAGGATATTACTTTCATATTTTGCAAACTCCTTTTGTCCTATACAGCCTTTAAATATTCTACTCTAGCACAACCAGCCTCGCTCAGTGATTGAGTGTCGACCTATGAACTAGGAGGTCAAGGTTTGATTCCCAGTCAGGGTACATTCTGGCTCAATCCCCAGTGAGGGGCGTGCAGGAGGCAGCAGATCAATGATTCTCATCATTGATGTTTCTATCTCTTTCTCTCCCCCTTCCTCTCTGAAGTCAATAAAAATATATTTTAAAATAAAAAATATTCAACTCTAAGGGGGACATTTCAGCTATTTAAACTCCTGCTTAGTTGGTTATTAGTAGGAAGTGGGAGCAGATATACAAATGTGGGGGAAAAAAGAAAAAAAAGAAAGCAGACTTACCTTTACTCAATTTTAAGTCTTGAAAGTAGCACAAACTTTATCTGTGTTGTCTACATAGAATCAATGGAAAAGACCCAAAGCTAACCTCAGGTGTATTTGTCTCCACTTCATGATAGCTGAGAGTCTCTATCATGGACAGTGTTTCTTCCCCAGCTCCTTCCCAATAAACTATGCTGGCTAGACTTTGCTCCTGGCTCATAGGCCAGATCAGTTCTATCACAGCCTGTGCCAGCCCTGGCCATGAGTAATTGATTCTGAAACAATTTCCCATTTCCACTTCCTGGAAGTGTTAGGTCAATGTTATGGCCTGCTCCCAGACTATCTCATTTTCTATTATTTCATTATCCTAGCAACCACATATTGAAGGACAAACTCATCTCACTCCCACCCCATAGTTGTTCTTTCTGCAATTCCAAGAAACAGGCCACTAGTGATGTATAATCTTCTCACTTAGAATGGCTTTCCACTGGTTTCTTATCTTTGTAATTTAAAATAGATGGCAGGTGCAAATCCCTAAAATCCGCTAATTCCAAATCACCACCCAAAGGTTAGTGGGTTTCTCCAACCACAAATTTCCGGGTACCACATCTGCATAAGCAGTTTTCTCATCTAACCTACACATCTGCATCTCCTTCAGAGGGAAGTGTGGTAATGAGGTCTAAAAGGGTGTCAGTCCACACCTCACTGATTAGAATGATCTGAAAGTCCACTCTGTCTCAACTGCTCTTTCTTTAGATGGAATATGTTTTAGTAAACTTGAGGTCAGATGTGGAGAGCGGCTGCAGTGTTTGGACAGGTTCAAGCCTCGGACTGACGAGTCCTCTTGTGGCAAAGCCACATATAAGTCCCAGCTTGGAGGGCAAAGCCCTCCCAGCACAATTATAGCCAAAGGCTATGGTTGTATATAAGCTTAACCTTATAGTCCAAACCTGTAGTCCTACATAGCTGAGGGATGTGGGCTGGGGGAGGGGCAGCAAGTGCTGCCAAAACAAAGCTTGATAGAGTTCAAAGAATTAAAACAACAGGAAAGAAGTAGATTTGGAACTCACAAGAACATTGTAAACATCTTGAATACTCCCTTGTTTTGCTTTGTGTGATCTGACTATAAAATAAAGGTTTGGCTTACAGGTTGTGTCACTGTCCTCATCCAGGCGCAGTGATCCACCTGGCTCCAACTATATTCTCTTGTCTGTTTTCTTTAATCCTTCACTGACCTCCTCAGGTTCACCACTGGCTGTGCTGGATGCGGTTCAGTCAGAAAACCTGGCTTTCAATCCAGCTCCTACATCTATATGTTCTAATGAGGCAAATCATCTCACCAAACTTGATTCTGACTTTCCTTATCTATATCATGGGAAGGTGAAAAGGTCTCATCTTTATGGGTTGTTAGGATAAAATAACATAACAGAAATATAAATAAAATAAAACACTTGATACATAGCAAGTGAATTTCTGTTCCCTTCTCTACAACATAGGGTTCTAAGCCTTTGTTATTTACTCCAAGAGTAAGAACATGGACCTAAATCCCCTCAATACTATGCATGTGATGCATGGGAAGACCGAAGGGCTTTGAGAATTCTGGCTGAGAACAAGGAACATTCTAAACAGATTTTGGCACCAACCTGCCGGTCGCTTGGTTAGATTGAGACAGTCTGCATGGTAAACTTTTGGGCAGCCTGGCTTCTTACAGGAGACGAGCTGGCCAGCATCCCCACAGCTGAAACACTCATCCTCTCGCTCCTTTGTGATTTCACCCTGGCTCCTTCGCTTCCCCTGTTGCTTCTTCTTGAATTTCTTTGACTTTTCTTCCGTGGCAATGGGTTGATTCTAGAGGTCAGATATTAAGCAGTCAGCATTCTGTCGACACATTAGTTGTATGATCTTGACCAGGTTAACTATTCTCTCTGAGCCTCAGTCTCTCCTCTGGGAAGAGACAGTCCTTATAGACTGTTGTATATGTAAGAGAAAATGCAGAAAAGGCACCTAACACATCACAGTGTTATAGTAAGGTACCTAGTAAGTGGTTGTATTAATTAACTTTTGTACCAACTACCCCTGCTACCTGAATGAAATGAAAGAGATACGTTCTTTTTGTTGACACACAGGCTGGTGTTAAAGGTCACCTTTTTCTAAGTTTTATTTTTAGATTAATTTCATAACTAAGGAAGACTTCTTTGTGTGTTTGTGTGTGCATACACATTTCTTAGTTTATTCAACAAACTTTCCCTGAGTACTTAGTATGAGCCATGTGCTTGGAAGACACAAAAAATCTAGTTCATGGTCTTTGGCCTCAACAAGCTATGCATTTTTTATTTAAGTCAAATTATGTCCGCCACTCAAAACAGATCTTAGCCAGCAGGTCTCTGTGCTCTCATTCTTGGTCATCACACCTGGTGGTTTTCATAAGCTTCTGCTCTTGAATTTCTCTATTATTGATTCATGTGTGAAATGCTACCTTGACCTTAAGGATGCAGAAACTATCATTCCCAGTGCATGTAACATCATTAAATCTGGGTTAATTCAGTTATATTTTAATTTTAATTCACTGGGCTTGTGAAGGAACAAGACCATTTAACCAAACCAACTAAACAAAATCCAACATAATATAAAAATAATTCTCCTTAATAAAATAATTACTGGATACTCTTTATCTTCATGTGTAACTGCTCATACAGATTATTCTCTTTAGTTATGGGTTTCTATACTAATTTGAATTTTTTTAGTTCTTAATATTGACTTCATAATCCAAAATCCATCATGGAAATACCCAACCAGAGTCACTGTATAATCTACTATGTATCAAAATTAAACATAAATTTTCAGTGTGCTGTTACTTATGAGAGAGATATCTAGAAGTATCCAAATGTGCAACTATTATGGTCCACCCATTAATATAAAAAATTTAACAGTCACTAAAAATGATGATTGAAAAGACTATGTAACAGCAAGGAGAGTTTTTATAATATTTAAGAAAAGTAGGTTGCGGACTTATAGACAATTCTTAACAGTTATAGAATTATAATTCAGTTAAAGAGCACATATAAAATACTAGGAACTCACAACAATGTTTATACTTTGTTACAATGATAAGATTAAGGATCTATGTTTACTGACAGTATTATATAATATAAGTAGCTTATTAGGAAATATGAGTAAGATCAGCTGAGACCAATAAAAATGTGGCAAATAACCCACTTTAAGATTCCCATTTACAGGCTTCTTAGTTAAAAAGGCATCCCTAGTTATAAGTCAGATTGTTTAAAACACTCCAACAGTACTCAAAGATGCTCTCCTGTGTCACCGAACTGATCATCAGAATGCTTACTTAGCAAATTGCCAGTGGCCATGACAACTATTCTCTGTCATTATTTCAAAGAGACATCTTAAAATAAAGACTCAGCCCTGCCCTGGGTAGGGCGGGAGGACCACACCACTATTCCCGATGCAAATGTTTAGAAGGTACCTTTGGCCTTACACCCAGAAAGCCTCTGCAGTTTGGGGCTCCACATTTGCAAACAGTCTTTCCATTCCCAAGACATTCTAGGTTGTAGTTGAAGGTAAGTTCAGTGCCTGCATAAGAGACCATGAAAAGATTAATATCTATGGTATGAATTATGTTATTTCTGTATTAATTACAAAAAGTATATTGACTTCTAAGAGAAATTATTAATTTTTAAAAGAATAAAAAATTAGCCCAGCTGCCGTGGCTCAGTGGTTGAGTGTCAACTTATGAACCAAGACGTCATGGTTTGATTACTAGTCAGGCACATGCCTGGGTTGTGGGCTCGATCCCCAGTGGGGTGGGTGTGTGCAGCTGATCAATGATGCTCTCTCATCATTGATGTTTCTAGCTCTCTATCCCTCCCCTATCCTCTCTGAAATCAATAAAAATACATTAAAAATTAACTACAAATCCCACTATATTAATAAAATATTAATAAATTCTAATCCTGTAACATTATTAATCATCTAATACAACTTAATAAGAGAAAAACTTAAATGGCTTAACAAGTAATATTTAAACTAACTTATACTATAGAAGTGTTAATATCCCAAGTTGGTTTTTTAAATTTGTTTTCTAACCATTCAGTTCCAAAATACTAGTATATTAATTCATTACCAAAAACAAACAGACAACAACTTACATTGATGTGCCAGGCACTGAGAATGCAGGTATGAAGAAAACCTGTTTGTGCCAAGGTAAGCACCTGGCAGCACTCAAGGGAAAGACATCTCAGTATAGAACAATATGAGAGAACTCTAGACCACAGACCTAAAGTCCTGGCTTTACATTCCACTTACCCCATGATCTGAGTGATTTGGTCCCTGAGTATATCCATTAAATGGAGAAATAGCAACCTCACACAGGCTTGTTGAGAGAATATCACATAATACACATAGCAATAATTTGTAAACTTTTAAAAAGAGATGTACAAATAGATTTTAAGGTAGGAAAAGGCTCCTTTCTGTTGTGCATGTCATCAAAACCAAGAAAGCAAATAAAACACACTCAAACTCCAAACACATTAGCAAAGGCCTAACAAATACAAGAATTTTATATATGTACTAGAGGCCCGGTGCACAAAAATTTGTGCACGCAGGGGGGAGAGGGGCGTCCCTCAGCCCGGCCTGTGCCCTCTCCCAGTCTGGGACCCCTCGGGAGATGACGATCTGCTGGCTTAGGCCTGCTCCCGGGTGGCAGAGGGCAGGCCCAATCCCTAGGTGCAGCCCCTGGTTGGGCTCAGAGCAGGGTTGATTGGGGCGCTGTCCCCTGTCATGCATAGAGCAGGGCGTATCGGGAGGTTGCGATGCCACCCTCAGTCATGCTCAGGGTAGGGCTGATTCGGGGGTTGGGGCACTGCCCCCTGTCACACTCAAGGCAGGGTTGATGGGGAGGTTGCGGCACCACCCCCAGTCATGCACAGAGCAGGGCCGATCAGGGGGTTTGGGCACCGCCACTGTCACACTCAGGGCAGGGCCATTGGGGAGGTTATGGCTCTACCCCGTCACACACAGAGCAGGGCCCGTGGTGGGGTGGAGGTTGGGGCGCTGCACCCTGTCATCCACAGAGCCGCAGGGCGGTCAGGGGGGTGGG